GTGTACTCTTGCAATGTACGCTATTATGAATCAATTTTGCGCAGCATGCCAGCGTTGTTTGAAAAAACTGAAGTTTATGTACGTGAGAGAAAACAAAGCTAATTTCAAAAACATTTTCTGGCTGACAAGCTCGATCATTGTTACAGTCCATCTGCATTTCGAAGTTGGAAATATTGAAACTAGCATAAAAGTGAGTACTGTGCATAATAGAAAGTGCATGACTGGTGCAAGTACACACATAACGAATAGAATATTAGGGCATCTCGACGCCTCATGTCCACATCAGCTGACAGATATGAGTCAGCTCCAAAACACGCTTGATCAATGATTATAATCACGCCTATAGAGAGGAGGAGGACGAGAACAAAAATGATTCTTGACGTGTTGTATACCTTGGAAAGAAATATGAATATTGAAAGAGTGGAACTGCTGCCAGGAGGAACACTTAATGCACTATGAATTAGGTCGCTGAACGACTAAAAAAAACAATAAAAATGGCCTAAGCAATATACCGCTAGTGTTTCGTAACATTGAAACAAAACAAGATGAAAAATAGGGAATATGACAAATAGTGAGTACTTTTTGAAAATACGATATGGATACGCTTACAAAAGCTTAAGTCTTTGGCACAACTGGCTTAATATGTGAGTAAAGAGTTTAAAGAACGGAAAATGCGCTTAAACATCACAGAACAGAGTCTTATTAGCTTCTAAATTCATCTCTCACAAAAATACTTTTACTACGATGGGAGTTGCACAAAAAAAGGACAGAAGCTGCACTATCTATATCACCATAGAAAAAAGCAAAAAACCACATCACCATTGACAATAAAATCCAGAAACAAACATAATTACAGGCAAGAAGAAGTTAGTCTGGAAGGGTAGACTCTGCACGAATAACTGCAGCAAACTGAGAATGATGACAATTGACTAGATCGATTCTGGTTGATTGTCAGTCGAAGGCCTTAGTGTTATGATGCACGACCAAATCGCCGTTCTTCAAGCGAAGCAATATAAGTGAAACCGTTCTGATAGTTTATAGGGACGAGACGATTATTGAGTGTACGTTCTCGGTGGAAAACGCGCGCGTCAAAGCTGAGTCATGCAGCTGGCAGAAAAGCCACTTTTATGATAAATATGAGACTTCCCAACAGAATACTTTATCCAAGACAATCACGACAATTCAATACAAACAGTTGCGCCTACCAGATGCCAAATCTCAAAATAAGGCCAAAACAATGGACA